CCGGCTCCAGCCCAGCCCCCTCCTCGCCCTCGGGCCTCGCTTACCCCCAGAAGCCGCAGGGGCAGCGCGGTGGCAGGCTGGGCGCCTTGCTGCGCTCGCTGCCGGCGTCTCCCATGGTGGGGCCGGTGCGCAGGGCGGCGGCAGCGGCGAGCGGGGGGGGCGCGGGGCTCCCAGCCGGGATTCCAGGCCGGTCAGCTGGAGCCGGGCGCGACCACTGAGGAGGAGGGGGAAGGGAGCGGAGGGGAGGGGGGCGGCCGCGCCCTACCGGCCGAGCCCGCAGAGGAGCGGGGACGCGGAGCTCTCTGCCGCGGGTCCCCTCCCGCCCGACGGTTTCTGTGACGACCCCGCTGTCGCAGCGGCGCGCGCCCGCCCTCCCCCACCGCTCGGCCCCTGACTCAACAATGCGTGTGTCTCCCCCCCCCCGCCTCCGGCGCCTTGCCTCCCCCTGTCCTGAGCGGGATGGTTTCGCCAAGCCGCCGGATCAGCTGGGAGTGGCATATACCATAGCCCATCCTGGGGGGAAGTTGGGTTAGATCGGGGGCGGGAACTAGGAAAGAAGCAAGTTTGAAAGGCGCCCATAGACTCGAGAAGGGAACGAACTTCTCTGTGAGGAGGCTTACTGGGGGATGAGGCCGGCAGAGCTACCTGGAGCCGCCGCCCTCTTTTGCTTCTACCCACACATTAGGCACGTAGTGGTACAGCCGGGGAAGACCGGTGGGGTGGGGGTGCCGGTGTTGGCTGCGCATGCGCGGAGGGCCTTCGACGCGGAAGTTGGTCGGTGGCGAGCAGGTCCCCGGGGATCTCCCCCGTGCTGCCCGGGGCCGGGTAGGCCCGCACCCCCGCCCCCCGCATCCTCCCGAGCCAGGACCTGCCCGAGCGGCCGTGGCTGGGGCCTAGGCCCAGGCTCTCGCTCGGAGCTACCTCGCCGAGAGGGGCTGGTTGTTGCTAGCCCGGGGTGCCGGGGGGTGGGCGGCCTGTGCGCACTCGGGATCTCTCCCTGGCGGGCGGCTGCCCCTGGGGGACACCGGCGCGGGGCGGGACGGACCGGGCCTCGTCCCCCGTGCACTCCGTTTGCTTCCGTTCTAGGCCTCTCTGCTGCCGGCTAGGAAGGAGGCCTGGGAGGGCCCTGAGGGCGACGCTCCGTCATCTCTTTCCTGCTTATTCTGTAGGTGTTCGTCCTCGGTTTCTCTAATAAAAGCGGTTAGGTGTCTAACGTACGTGGGGGTTTCTTTTCTGTGAATAAACAACACTCGCTGGCTGGGGAGGCTAAGCTGAGGGCTGGCTGAGGCCGGGAGAAGGCAGTGCCACCTTGGCCCTCGTGTTTTGGCCCCAGAGAAAGGGAGCTGCAAGAGGTAAGGTATGGCAAGCAGGGAAGTGCACAGCTGGCATGGTGCACAGGCGATACCAGCTGTCGCCCTTTGATGGACAGGAAGGGAGAGGGGAGTTTCCAGCATCTGGACTTGAGGACTGAGTAATGGCGATTGTACTTCTGGTATGGTTTTAGTAAATGGCCTCGAGCAAGTTACAGTCTTGCACTTGCTGAACCTTGGGTTTGTATGTGGAGTGGAAATGTTGCTGACCCCCTGCTAGAAATTGCTTTTTGATCTGAGTGAAAAACACTATGTGGAAAAATACTGGTGTGCCAGTAATGAAGGTGGAATTTTGATATATTCCTGAGGTGCTGTTACCCATCGGATTTGTGCATTGCACTTAAAACCAAGGTTATTTAACACTAAAAATAATAAACATCCTTAACAAAGTCCAGAGTATATAGGTCTTTGTGAACAACTAATTAATTCTGCCAATGACCTTTTGACTTGAATATTAACCTTCGTAAAGAATTTTATATCAAATTAATTCATGACAGAGAAAAAAGTAGTAATGAAATGCATCTACACATGCATAAAACTCTTTAATAAAAAAGTTGGAATTGAATTGAAATCATATAAACAGACTTGGTTGAAGAGACTGGTTTGTGACAGAGTTTACTAATAACAGTTGTTTTATCTAACGGTTGAGTCTGGGGCTACCTGACTTCCTGTTGATGCATCAAGTGGGCCGTTAGTGCTTCAGTAGCTCAACCAGTCGCTGTTCTTCCTTAGCAGTGACTTTGAATGCAGTAACATTGTTGAGTGTGAGACCAATGTAGGATGGAGATGGGATGTGTGGTGAGAGTTTTCATTGACATGTTAACTGGTCCAACTGCCAGCCCTATTTAAAGTGTCTGTGGCTGCATATCAACCTGCCCACCGAAGCATGATAGCTTCCTCTTGGCACAGCTTTCTGAGGAGCCTAGTTGCTGACGCAGCACTGCTGAGTGCACCAAGAGAAGTGAGTACTTGAACAAAATAGCCCTGGCCTCATTAACTCATCCCTTTAAGCCAGTAAGTCAACTGAAAGTTAAAATTGTCTCTTCTGTGCTGGCTACCTGTGCTACTACCAGAGGCTGTAAATTCCCCTCTGATAAGGAGTATGTACGGACTTTTTAAAGATGATTTGATAGTTTGTATGTCCTCCTTTGCTATTAAAGTGAGTTCATGGAGCTCATGTTGAGTTAGCTTTCAAGTATTACAAGTGTTGTCAGAAGCATTCTCTCTGCTCAGTACTTGTGTCATTTCAAATAAACCTTTCTTGATTTTGTAAAGTTATGTTGGAATAATGTCAAAGTTCTAGTTTTCTGAGCAATTCAGATTTTTAAAAACCCTACAGTGATGTGGTAATTCACTCCAAAGTTAAACACAAGAAAAACGTGAGTTTAGGGATGATATTACATGAAGCAAACGCATATTATGTATGACTATGATGAAGACACCTGAACAACTCTAACACTGCCTATTACTAATGCCCTAAGGAGGAATAATCGGGGGGGGGGGGGGGAGAGGG